CGCGCGGGTGGGCAGTTTTGTCCACCCGGGGCTGCCGAAGTTTGGGGGCGGGAGCCGGGTGCGGCGCCGCGGGGTACATCCCCGAGGTGTGCAGATCTTGAGTATCAGTGGGCTTTGGGTTCACATTTCTCTTGTTTCGCTAACCTGTGCTTTCCCTCCCTCCCCTTCTCTCTTTCCATTGCAGAAACGAGAAGCAGGAGGAAGAAGAGGTTCGTGTCCAGCCCCCGCTACGTGGAGACCATGCTGGTAGCCGACCAGTCCATGGCCGAGTTCCACGGCAGCGGGCTGAAGCACTATCTCCTGACGCTGCTCTCCGTGGCGGCCAAGCTGTACAAGCACCCCAGCATCCGCAACTCCATCAGCCTCGTGGTGGTGAAAATCATGGTCATTTACGAGGAGCGGAAGGGACCCGATATCTCTTCCAACGCAGCCCTGACTTTGAGAAACTTCTGCAGCTGGCAGAAGCAGCACAACCCGCCCAGTGACCGGCACGCCGAACATTACGACACGGCAATCCTCTTCACCAGGCAGGTGAGGGACACGGAGGTCAAATCCATCCCCGCACCCATTGCTCCCTACCCCCGGAGGCCCCCTCTGCCAGGAGACCTCTGAAAAAGTGTCCAGAGGCAGTCTCGTGCCATCACCGCTTCAGCAAAGGTGGCTAAAAATGGGATGAACTGCTTTTTATTTAGTCGTTTATTTTGCTGTTTGCACCGTCTCAGGTGAAGCTCATGGTATGCGCAACGTATTTCTGCCTCGTATATTTTTAGCAGATTTAGTATGGAAATTATGCATTTTATTTCTACGTGTAACCCTCGCGTATGTTCCAAAGGCAGATTTTTGCCATCATACCCATTGAAGTGCTGAATATTTATGCTCTTTCCATAAGTAAAGGCAAACTGCCAGGGCTGGCTGTTTCTTGCCAAGGTTAAGTCTCTGATCTGATTAATAATGAAACTGCCTTTTTTTTACAGGACCTCTGCGGTGCCAAGACATGTGATACTCTTGGGATGGCTGATGTGGGAACAGTTTGTGATCTAAACCGCAGTTGCTCTATCATAGAAGACGATGGCTTACAGGCTGCCTTTACAACAGCCCACGAGCTAGGTACTTGAAACTCTGACAGGCGATTTCACGTGATTAATTGAAGCCAGCTCGATGCCATAAAGCAAAGAGCTGCCCAGCCCACACCGCGGGCTCGCCCTGCGGGGCACGGAGTGCCCTGCGCTCCCCGGCGCAGTCGGGAGGAGGCAAAGCTTTGCCGTGTAGCAGGGTCAAACTGTGGAAAGCAAATCCGGTCTGTGCAGCATTGTCTGCAAGAGCTGCGTGTTTGACTGATTGCTGAAAAAAAAGCACGTGAGAAGCCTGTGAGGAGGGTGAAGCTACAGTGCCATCTGCTTAAAGTTTGGCAATATTCAGGTTCGGGTTATTATTTAAAGACCAGGCTTTGAGCAACTCTAGAGTAGTATTTAAAATAGTGTTGGTAATGCATAGGACAGACTTCCTAAAATCACAACTTTCCTTCTTCTTTTTTTTTTTTTTTTTTTTTTTTTTAAGGCCACGTGTTTAACATGCCTCATGACGATGCAAAGCAGTGTGCTGGTATTAATGGAATAAGCCGGGATTTCCACATGATGGCATCTATGCTTTCCAATCTGGATCGCAGCCAGCCTTGGTCTCCATGTAGTGCCTACATGATTACGACATTTTTGGATAACGGTCATGGTAAGATTATTAAGCTTTCCATTCATGTGGCATTTAAGCTCTTGTGTTTTACTGCTTTGCTTTTTTTTTTTTTCTCTTTTTCCTTTTTCTTAACAGAGCGCTTTCTGCTACAGCACAGTGTTAACCTTTTACGTCCTGCAAATGAAGTTAGAAGACCCTTAGTTTTACAAAAATGTTGGCACAAATTGGCTCAAAGACTTGCGTTACAAAGCAAATGCCGTTCCAGAGATGGAAATACACCTTTCCCTTTTGAAACTGAACTCACTGACAGCATCGTCTGATTTTATTTTTTTTCTTTTTTTCTTCCTTTTCAGGTGAGTGTTTGTTGGACAAGCCCCATAAACCTATCCAGCTGCCTTCTGACTTGCCTGGTACGTTGTACGATGCCAACAGACAGTGCCAGTTTACATTTGGAGATGAGTCCAAGCACTGCCCCGATGCAGCCAGTACGTGTACGACGCTGTGGTGTACTGGCACTTCTGGAGGACTGCTCGTGTGCCAAACCAAACACTTCCCGTGGGCAGACGGCACCAGTTGCGGGGAAGGGAAGTGGTGCATGAATGGCAAGTGTGTGAATAAAACTGAGAAGAAGCATTACGATGTAAGTATGAAAAAAGAAATCAGAATGTATCCTGGGATGTGGAGTAGCACAGACAGTGCTTCAGTGGCAGTAATCAGTTAAAAGGGCTTGAATAAATGGAGGCAGATAGCTAACAAAACAAAACAAACCAGGAGCTTTTTTTTTTTCTTTTTTTTTACAAGTGGCTTAGGTAAAAATGAGCAAGGCTGTGGGTTTTGTGGTTTGGTTTTGGTTTGCTTTTACTGTATTAACTTTTTTGTTCTGCTTTTGCTTGTCATTCCAGACACCGGTGCACGGGAGCTGGGGATCCTGGGGGGTGTGGGGAGAGTGCTCCCGGACCTGCGGTGGTGGAGTGCAGTACTCCTTCAGGGAGTGCGACAACCCTGTCCCGAGGAACGGGGGGAAATACTGTGAAGGAAAGCGAGTGCAATACAGATCATGTAACATCGAGGACTGTCCGGACAATGATGGTAATCTTTTCCCCATTCTGGGGGCAGAGGAAGGGTATCTTTTGGAGGAGGAGCATGTACAGAAGATGATCTAACATCCCCCTGTCTTTCCTCTGCCTGCAGGCAAAACCTTTAGGGAGGAACAATGTGAAAAGCACAATGAGTTTTCCAAGTCTCCCTTTGGAAGCGGACCTGCAGTGGAGTGGACACCCAAGTTCGCCGGTGTCTCTCCAAAAGACAGGTGCAAGCTGGTCTGCCGAGCAAAAGGAACAGGATATTTCTTTGTTTTGCAGCCAAAGGTATTCCGAAACTCTACCTCTTCCATCTAATCATGAATAAGATTTTTATTTCCTTTGACTCTTTACGTGAAGTTAAGAGTCAAGGAGTGTAGAAATCTGAAATTGTCTTTCTCTTATTTAATCTACATTCTTCCCTCTCCTCTTCCTACATGTACAGTTTGATCAGTGCAAGCATGCTTTAAATATTCTGGCACAGTCCTGCCAGTTATTTCACACGTACCGCCTCTCCTACCCACTCCACCCTAGTTTCCTTTCCCCTCCTTCCACCAATTTGATTACATTGAGATATGTTTGGAAAACTGTGGGGGTTCTTTGCCAAAACACTGGTGCTCTCTCATACCGGTTACTAATATGCTGACAGCTTAAAATAAACAGAAAGAAAAATGTTCATCTCGCATAGCTACTTGAACTCACTGTCATAAGATGTTGAGAGCCAATAACTACCAGGGCGATGACACAGATGGTTTTGTAGAGCAGTACTCCTAGGAATAAAAGATACATTGAACACCATTAAAAGCGATTTTGGTCCTGTACTTCGAGGGCATGACTACCTTCTAGTGACATTAGAAAGCAACATTCTTTATGTGAAATAAGTAAAACAGTTTTGTGGGTGGAGGGGTTTGAGGGGGCTGTTAATAGAAAATGAAATTCATTGGTTTCTCCTGTCACCATGGCATCGTTTTTGCAAGCGAGATGAAGTAGCACTGCATGCCTCCAACTATCTGTGGGCTGCTTTGGTTTTTAGTTTCAAAAGCCTTGAAGATACAAGCGCTGCAGGTCTTCCACCTGTCCGTGTTCCGTATGTGTCTGTATTGCGCAATTTCAAAGCAATGTGCGTCTTCTGATCAAACGCCCTCCTGCTTCTTTCCTGCAAAGGTTGTGGATGGCACCCCGTGTAGCCCCGATTCCACCTCCGTCTGCGTCCAGGGGCAGTGCGTGAAGGCTGGCTGTGACCGTATGATAGGATCCAATAAGAAGTTTGACAAATGCGGTATCTGCGGTGGCAATGGATCCACTTGCAAGAAGGTGTCTGGCACACTTGTTAGAGCAAAGTGAGTGTATAACTGCTGCTGTTATTTTGTTCTGGTGCACGTGTTGTGGGTGTAAGCTTTGGGTTTCCAAGTCAGTGAGGTGTTGCCCCAGTTTATTGTTGGAACTGAGATTTGATCAGTCAGAGCCATCTGACTGAAGATAACTTACAGCGAGATCCCAGCGAAAGGAAGCCCCTTCCACGTGGGCATGCCTCTGCCGTAGTAATAACGTGGGACATGACTTTGCAAATCCCTTAATCCATTAATTCAATTAGGTTGGCAGCCCATGAGCTTAACGCTTCGGCTTCAGATGAAATTCAGTCTTGTGCCGAGCAGCTTCTTCCCTTTTGCAGGGAAGAGCAGAGGACTCAGTCTTCCTCTTTTCTCTTGGGCAGACCCGGCTACCATGACGTCGTCACCATTCCAGCTGGGGCGACGAACATCGAGGTGAAGCAGCGAAACCACAGGGGTGCAAGGCACGACGGCAGCTTCCTTGCCATCAAAGCCGCAGATGGCACCTACGTCCTCAACGGTGATTACACCCTGTCGACGCTGGAGCAGGACATCACCTACAAGGGCAGCGTGCTGAGGTACAGCGGCTCCTCTGCCGCCCTGGAGAGGATCCGCAGTTTCAGCCCTCTGAAGGAGCCTCTGACCATCCAGGTCCTCACGGTGGGGCCCCTGCCACAGCCCAAGATCAAGTTCACCTATTTCGTGAAGAAGCCCGCGCAGCCTGGGTCAGAGAAGGCGCCCAGTAGAAAGAAAGAGTCCTTCAATGCCATCAGGGAGATCATCTCCTCCGAGTGGGTCATCGAGGAGTGGGGCGAGTGCTCCAAGTCGTGCGGCTCGGGCTGGCAGCGGCGGGCAGTGGAGTGCCGGGACCCCCAGGGGCGGCCGGCCGCCGACTGTGCCCGGGAGCTGAAGCCTAGCGATGTCCGTCCCTGCGCCGACGTGCCCTGCCCGCAGTGGCAGCTGGGGGACTGGTCACCCTGCTCTAAGACGTGCGGGAAAGGTTTCAAGAAGAGATTGTTGAAATGTATTTCTTACGACGGCAGCGTGCTGCCGCAAGAAAGCTGTGAGCCTTCCAAGAAACCGAAACACCTAATAGACTTCTGCAACGTTACGGACTGCAGTTAAATAGTATAAGTTGGGAAAGCTAAATTTTTTTAATTATTTTATTTTTCTTCCTTCAGAACAATGCACTGAAAAAAAGAGGGCTAGAGGCAGCGCATGTGTTTTTGCATACAAAATTCATGGTGAGGATCCACTGAGGTGGGACAGTGCAAATAGCTTTAGGTTGGCATGGCATCCTAAAAATACCCTGCCAACTGAAAATTTGATAGGATAGCAGGCCCGTGTCACTCACTCATCTTCAGCAGATAAGGCCCGAGGGCATTATAATTGCCTTTTTTTAAGTCTGTTACAAATCAAACAAAACATGAGCAGTGGCCAAAACATGTTTAAGTAAACATTTTGGGGTTTGGTTATTTCTCCCTTCTTTTGGATTTATATTGTGGTACTGATCACGTCCCCATCTGTAGGAAGGGGATGGAAAGGGGAGTGGAAAAGATAGCTTAAAATAATTGGTCAGGGCTTACCTACCTCACGAAGGGCAAAAAACAGAATTGGAAAAGGAGCTTTAACTATGTCATTCATGGCTGCTATTGTTTCAGAGAATAGTTTTATATAAAAATAAAGCCATATTCTCTACCCGCAAAGAGTAAGAAATGCCAAGAACAGTCAGTCAACTCCACAAATAACTAGAATGCCATTTTTTTTAAAGTATCTTTATGTCATCCCAATGTGCCTGTCCATTTCTCTCGTCCACTCTGATGCCATTGCGGTGACAGATGTAATCCAGAGGCTAGAAAAAGTGGAAATCTTCATGGAGCAGGCAGCGTCTCTGAGTAGTTGCTCTTTGTGCCTTCTGCATACCTTCCACTGGCTTTTCGGATTCGAGCTTGGTCCTACCGTCCTGTCAACCAGGCTGATGGCATTTGTGAGCATTTGGGTCATGCCTTCACATTCACATCTTTTACCTTACCCCAGCCAATGGAAACTATTTGCATTGAGGTTAAAAAAAAAAAAAAAATCAAAGAAATCCCACTATGAATGGGAGCCTCTCCTATGTGGCCTCTGCTGGGTTTGTAGCGCTCAAATCACTGATAAGGTGGGAAGACAAAGCTGAAGGATAGCAGGTCCATCCACAGCAATACAACAACATTCGAATAATTAAAGTTTGTGCCAGTTCATAGACAATGAGAGAATATGGCTTTCCATATGTATATAGTAAAATATATTACTATAGATTTTATATACTTTATAAGTATTTTATATTTCTTTCCCTTCTGGGAAGGGTTATAATTTGTAATAAATGCATATAATGAGCGTATTTATTTTTATACTTCTTGTCTAATGTGATCTTCTAAGTTATCGCTTTTTTAAAAGGACATATAACAAGGATAGAGTATTTATACAGTATAATATGTTACTAGAGGTAATAAATGAACCCTATAAATTTTGGAAATGGAGCGTCTTTATTTCACTGGAGTAAAACTAGTCCATCGAGCGGAAAGATTTTGGAATCTAAGGCCATGTTACGAAAAAAGCTAAACCACATTTTTCAAAATGACTGGTAGCTTAGGCTACTAATTGACTGTGTTAGTGAAGGGGTTTGGAAAACTCTGCCCATAATGTCATATACCATGTTAAAAAGGGTAATTTTGTATTTTATTACTTAACCACTAACAGGGTGCTCAGCACTGTTGTTTCATCTGTAACAAAACAAAAAAAAAAAAAAAAAAAGAGTGCAACTAGACTGATGCCACTGGTTTTAATAACTGCTTACAGAGGGAGTATTGCTGTCAGTGGTGTTTGTAACCAACAAAATATGTACAAAAGTAGCAGTTTTACCTGTTCCAGTTAACCTTGCCCTACTGGGAAAGAAGCAGTCAAAATTCAAACCCACTAACTAGCAGTCAGAGGTTTCCCTCACGGATTTCTGGAGGGCCTCCTGAGCATGCTTTTCTAATTAGAAGTACTGTATGAATGAACTGTTCTAACGCTGTTGGTAACACGTTTTATAATGTTAAAATACATACTAAGCATCAAGAAACTGATTTTTGCTCCCTCACTTCTGATCTCATGACCACTGCAGTCGAGGGAAAATCTTCTGTTGAACTCGGTAGGATTTTTGCCATGGAATTTGAGACATCAGTCATTTATGAATACTTTTGGCTTTGTGTCATGTAAAAATCTATTAAAACTTCCTTTGCCAATGTTTGGACTCTGTCTTGCAGAAATAGTTCCCACTTTATTCCACGGATAAAATCCTGGCCCCTCTAAAGCACATAGAAAAATTCTCATCACGTCACACTTCATTGAGCATTACTTTGTCGTTGACATGCAAAAATACTGGGGAACGTTTTCCTTCTAGCATTATTTAGGAGAGAGCCACTCACTTTCTGTTTCTGTAAATACTTAAAAGTATTTATAAATATAACAAATAATACTTTATTTAATTGTATATTTTACTACAGCAGGTTAAAATGAAGAATATACACACTTTTCAAGAGAAAAAAATGGATTTTTATTTTCACTTTCTGCTGTTGCTCCTTCTCCTTGTAGACTTCATAGCCTAACACGTAGCTGTCGGTCGGCGTTGCCTGAAACTCTCTTCATTCAAAGGCCCAAGGAGCTACAGTCCCGAAACTGCAAGATCCTGCCATATCTACAGAACAGGCGAGATTCCCCAGCTTCGGGGTGATGGCGATTCCCCAAATTTGCTCTTGTCCACCTCGAAGACGTATTCAAAGCAAGGCTAAGAGATCCCTACAGAGGAAACAGCATCTCCCAGACCTACCCATGTCAAAGCAAGCCCAAGGCGCTGACATACTCTCGCTCCTTGCAGTAGCGCTTAAGGAGGCTCTTGGGAGAGAAAAATGGTGTTTCGCAGGCACCACCTTTCATGCTGAAGGGAATTTGGATCCAATCAAATGCAGCACATTCCCTCTTTTTTAACAAAAGGTGTTCTGCATCTCCAAAATGCTTCGGCTCGTATTACCTAGATTGGATCAGTCAGCCCTGTGGTTAACTAGAGCTAAGCGAGGAGTCAGAGGGGGTGAGGGAAATCAAACACAGTTGGCATTTTACAGTAACAAATGGCAATAACAACAACTTTTTTTTTTTTTTTTACACTCTTGCAAACGACTGCATAATAAATGAGTGATGAACTAGTAAAAAGTTATGATGGCAGCCTATTTGCTATGATTTCTTTAGAGCATAAACGCAGCAGCAGGTCAACTCGTTACCCACATTTGTAGCGCAGCTGACCAAGACTGCATTTCCAAGTCACAGTTCACTGACTACGTATTTTTCTTTGACTGGATCATGAATTCTCAGCAGTTGCATCTGTTAAACAGTAATATGGTTCGTGAAATTACATCCTATTTTTAAAAGAGCTGGGTCATAGAGAACGTGCTCCAAATAACGTATTCATTAGGCAACGCAATCAAAGACCTGTTCCCTCCCAAAGCACCCTTTGGTTACAAGAAAGCCTGCTGCTCTGGGTGACCCAGCAAAGGGAAACAAGCAAGAACAGTGGAGCATAGTTTAGCTGCGTAGCAGTCAAGGTCACAATTAAACACATCCCCCGCACCGAGAGTCTGGCAGTTTATGTCTTTTATTACAAAGGACTGGATAGTTAAGTGCTTTCTGTGTGCACTGTCCTTGCTGCAAGCAGGAACCGCAATGCTTTCATCGCTGACGCGTAAGGCGCGCTCCCGGGAGCAGAAGTGGCACTGAAGCGTGCATTGGGGTGGGTGTCAGAGCGGGTGCTTTCTGCCAGCCCAGGGGCCACTGGTTCCACTGACACCCAAACGGGCTTCAGACCCCAGACAAAGACTGCTGTTTTTTACCGGGTCATCTCGGCTGTCTGGCTTGGCAGGTTGGGTGGGAGCTTGCCAGCGCCCAGCATTTCAGCTGAGGCCAACCTCACTCCAGTTTGGAGCCAAATTTGTCTGGCTTCCTCCCAGGTTCAGAGAAGATAGATGCTATAACCTTTTTTTTTTAACATTTCGTTGCCACAAGACAAATGTGTTTAGCTGAGTAGTGTGGGCATGGTAGATGAAATCCGTATCTTCAAGTATTTTCAGAGGTGTGTGGAGAGGCAGGTGTCTAAATGAATGCAATATATCTTCCTTAATCACCCTTGGTTTCATTGCTTTCAAGGCTGAGTGGTCTTCCAGTTCTTGGTAAGGCTAAAGTCTGTCTGTCGGCAGAGTGGGGCAAATGAAAACAACGTGGTGAGTCATTCTGTGCCATTTCAGGCATCATGAGACTGAGGAAAAACTCTTTCCAGCCTTTCAGTGGCCTTAAAGAGCTTGGCATTGGGACAGAAGTCCAATCTGAGGGCCAAGTCTCCAGAACCCAATCCTCAAACTTCACCATCTAAGTTAGAAAATAACTGGGAGTTCAAGGAGGGAAGTAGTTATGCTGAAGAACTACCTTCCAGGCTGATTAGATGTAAAATTGTGGTATCTATGCTGAGTAAGCACTGTAAATGGTGCTAGAAAATTTGGAGTAGCTCTTTTCCTGTGGCACTGTTAAAATCATAAATAACACGATTTACTTCTTGAAACTGTATTAACAGTAAATCGGGGAAAAAAAAAACCAGTATGGTTCTTAAGCTGCTGCTGCGTTCCCCTCTCTTCAGTCCAATAGTTGTTGTAAAACCAAGAGGTGTTGGTGTTGCCCAAATAACTGTTTTGCCACTGGTTGCAATACATGTGCTTTCAGAGCAGAGAAAGGTTGGTTGCTATTATAGAAGTTGGTTCTGTCTGAGCTTTCAGAGTAAAGAAACAATTCCAGATATCTAGTATGGAAAAAACCTGAAATTGTCTAGAGCTGCTATATGCTTTAGCAGCCCATAGCTGCATTTCAGAGCCATCAGTTGCCTGAGTATATTTGGAGCTGTGATTTTTATGTCAGGACATTGACTTAGAGCATAAAGGCCCCAGAGTTACATGTATCAACAACACCCTGATCTGCCAGGTACTAGCAAAGCTGGCATTTCACTTTCTGAAATGCAGCTCCACATAGCTTGGAATGTGGCAACGGGATTCCCTCGTTTGTAGTTT